ACATTAACTTTATTTCTTCTTGGAGGTCTTCCTGAAGAGCCACAGCTTTGAGGAAGTGTTCTGACGTCATGAGTGTAGATAACTTCTGCCACCTTTCATTGAGGGAATCAAAGATGGCTGTGGCATGTATTAGATGAAGCCTCACGTCCATAACGTGGAAGAAAGGCTCCCAAGTGGCCCATTTCTTCTGCAACTCCTCTATATTTTCCAGGAATAGTATCATGGACGTGAGAATGCAGCGGATGTCTTCAATGTCTTCAAAATAGGGCTTAGCATGGTGTGAGACAGACAATATCTGTAGCCTCATGTTCAGCCCTGCAATGCTTGAGTTGGCTTCCAGCGTTGACTCAACCACAGACACACCCATGGAGGCAATGGGCTTGAGGCTCAGAGTTATCTGCGAGGCGATATGCTTTATATCTTGGATTTCATTAACAATTTTGGTTTCCTCTGTTGAATCTATTATGATAGCAGACATTTCTTTTTTGTACGATGTTAAGTTAAGCTTCTGGAGGAAGCAAAGAGTGAATTCTTCGGAATTTTGATCAAATTCAGTCTTGACAAGCGACTTAATCTGACACCAGTGATGATCTTTTAGATTAGCATTTTGTAGATTTAGTGTAAGAGGAACCAAAAGCTTGCATAACTCTACTCTAGTTAATATTTCCTCTTTCAACTCCCACTTGCTGTCTCCAAGAGCAGACGTGTCTTCAATGTCTCCTTTTGCAAAAGCTGCGAAAGGCTGTATTGCTCTTATTTTTTGACCATACGTAGATAACATATCCTGAAGTGCCACAACACTTACTTCCCAAACAACTATGGCTGCCCAAGTGTCCCAGGTTTTCTGCCACTCCTCTAAAAGTGACCACATTTTCTCTGCGGATTCAAGATTATGCTGAAAGGCTGGGAGCTCTGGGAACTCAATCTGTGGCAATGACATTAATTTCAGAGTCTCATTAACAACCAGCTTGTTGATAATGTTTGTCATCATATCTTTTAAATTTTTAATATTTTCCTTTGCCTCTGGAATAGTTTTGTCAAATCTTGTTGGCAGCATTTGCTTGAATTGGATCTTGAGGCTTTCAACTTCTTCAATGACTAATTCTGATCGTTCAGTGTATGCTTTCCTGTAGGTATCTAGAGCTATGTTTAGCTCAAGTATCTTGTTCGTCAACGCTGTTCCCACAGTGTCCCACTCACTTTCAAGTTGAGACAAACGTTTATTTACATTTGACGGAATTTTATAATGATACTTTTTCAATACCTCAAATTCCTCCCTGACAGGGCAGAACTCATTTCTGCAATTTGTCAATTGCTCTTTTGCTAAGAGGCATTCTTCAGCGGAAGAAATGAGAGAAGGGATGTCTTGTGGATTACTTTTGAGCAAGACTCTTGTTTCCTTGCTATAATTATAAAAAAAATCTAACTTATTTGAAGCTCTTTTGTAAAGATTGTTTTCAAACTCACATATCCAAGATTTACAAAGTTTAATAAGTTGCTTCTTCAGTTTTTCAGAACTGATATAGAATGTTCCCACTTTCAAGTGGTCGTCAACATTTTCGATTTCTCTTAATTTCTTCTCAAAAGTCATAATATCCGTCTCAAATACATAGACAGAATTGGCACTCTTGAGATAATGTTCGAAAAATTCTTCTCTGTTTACTTCCCATAGATCGCGGTATTCTTGCCACTGTTCTAGTTTCTCTTTCAAATTATCCACTTGCATCTGGAATTCGGTTGACAGCTTTTTTTGTAGTTTATTACACAGTTCGTCTTCGAGAGTTTTCAAATGGTCATGAGCTTTTGCCTTTTCAAGAGCAAATCGCCTTAGAAGACATGGTATTTTACCCAGACTCTCGGAAAACTGAGTTTGAAGGGAAGTCACAACTTTCAACACACGGTTCACTGAGGGCTTGCAAACAATTTTGGAGTTCGTGAGGCTTATGGAAAGTTTGAAGACTGGAGTGAGTTGTTCCGTGGGGCAACTTCTGGATCCCATCAGCATTCCCTCAAATGATAACAAAGACTTCCTAAGAATTTCTTTCTGGCAGTCCAAGAAAAGATAGTCAATTCTTAACACATATGCAAGCCACGCTTCCTCAGACTTAACGATGGATCTGTTTATGAGCTTCTTATACAGGGAATCCATTATTTCTTCCATTTGTAAAAACTCACTTCTCACTTTGGTAATCGTGATGTCGAGCTGTTGAATTAGGTCTTCCTGGAAACCGTCATTTTCATAGACCTTTTCACCGTCATTGACATACAGGGCCAATTCCTTAGTTTTCATGAGAATATTTGAGAGATTCTGATTGACATTTAAATATTGAGTCACTTGCTCTTGCACGGCACGTACTATGGCGCTGCACCTGACCAGGAGGGCCCCCGTCTGCTGCCGATCCTTCCAGCTAACGATGGAAAGTCCAGGAAAGAAGGCCTTAACCGTCTTCTGTATTTGGAACTCAAACATTTGCGCCTCGTCACGAGACATCCTCGTCATGAAAGTGTTGAAGCCATCAGCACATTCAGATACCTGATAAAGCAGAAAGGCAAAGTCCACTGTGTTATGCAGCTTAGAAACACATCACACTATTACCGTTACCATATTCAGTTACGATATTACCCACACTAATATTTTGTTTTAATCACAACTAACTTACAAATTGAAAACAACACTACACGACTTTTTAGTCCGTCCTGGATCATTACTAAGTCAAAAGTGATTTGTTAATGGTCTACGACAGACCAAAACGTCATCAAGTTGCACATTCAATTTATGAGTTATTTGTGAATTTGTTCCAGCAACGATGTTGTGTCATTTAATCTTCGGTAGTTTCATTGCTATCCTACTTCGTACCATTAGAATAACCTATGCCACATAGCAGTAACTCAAGAAAAATACAATTAAAACAGTAATTACGAGTATTTTTTTTTAAATCTAAGTATGACTCATTTGTATTAACCAACATCCTGATAATTTAAATTTTCACGCAAATGTGTATGCATCACCTGCTTCCTCATGGCCATGTAGACGTTGTTATCTACGAAGATGGAGTTGAGGCTCTCGGGAACATCAAAGCCCATAGCCTTCCACGCTGCTGCCTCCTCCAGGTTCTTGAAGAGCTGCCTGTGTCAGCACATAGTCACGGAACTGTCTTTCTAACAGCAATGTTAATTTGGTAATAAAATTATTAACTTAATTTTCTATTTTAGCGCCGTTTTAGTTACATTATGTTAATGATAGCTAACTAAATTTAAATTTTTTTTAACATTTATTAACACTATTAATATGGTACATATTTTTAATCAGGGGGAAAAACGACAGCCCGTATGGGTCATACAACCCTAGGGGGTTGGGAGGTGTTCAGATTCGATCCAAGGAAGGGAAGGATAAGACCGGTTCTTTGAATGAAGATCATCTTACCGACACCAAAGTACCTCCTATGAGGGGTCCTTTTCAATGTTATATGTGTATAAATATCGCCAGTGTAGGCCATGTAATGTAAGGTTATTCATAAAGTGAAACTTTTTATGAGGGAATAAAAAATTCGGAACCAACATCAAAACACAGAAATTTAATATATTACAAAACCATTGTTTACAACTTTACGTAGTGGTGTCACTGTCGTTTTTTTGAGACCTGAGTCATAGGGAAAAAAATCGACATTTGCTTAGGTTGGCGTCATAGATATACAGTAAGGACGAAGTTGTGGCAGTTAAGCATGTGTTAAATGATCTTATTAAACAGTGCAGTGCTAACAAACAACATTTGAATATCTGAACACATTAAAGCGAACAGAGATGCCAGCTTGTAGTTTTGCATATCAGTAAATGAGCGAGTTACACGTGTACTTTTATCTTAGGACTTTAGAATGTGATCCTTCAGTTCTTGGAAGGTTCGAAAAGGGTAAAATATAACATCGATAATAGATTTATTTTTTTTACGGGACGAATGAGTAGGCCAGCAGAAAGCTTCGGTCATGTGACATCATATAAGCAAGTCTCTCATCAGGATTTTTTTTCTTTTCTCCGGAGAAATATAATACCACCAAATAGGAACGTGTTAATTTCTATACCTTTTTACCCACCTGCTGTCTCCCAATATTTTTACCTGTCTGTTTCGAGCTAGTGATTGTTCTCTTTGTCTTCTTTTACGCCTACAAATGTGTACGACGATACCTTTTGGTACCTCTTTTCCTAAAAAATTGTGCGCTCTGACCTTGATAATAATTACCAACGTGATTACAATTACAAATCTTGTTATAAGAACTTTGCTACTGGTCCTATTTGCCACAAAACGAAATAAACACTGCTGTTAACTACTGCTATTATTTATTGCTATCATGTACTCAAGTACTACAACTATTATCTACTAATATTAGCTAATTCTATTACTTTTCAATAAACTATTGCTTTTAACTATTGCAGTTAACCGTATTTATTACCTCCTGCAGTTGCCTACTGCCATTAATATTACAATAAATTATTACCTAAATCTACCACAAATTCATTGCACCTCTCACAAGAAAACTTACATATCAAAGTTGTCTTGTAGTGTCTGGACGGGTCCAGGCCGCCACCTGAAGATAGGTTCCATGAGCCGCCTGGAAGGGTTGGGCTCAAGTGAAGCGTTCCACGCAGCATACATATTGGACACGACTCCCTTCAGCAGCGCAACCGTCCTCCCCCACCGCTCGTAGATGGAGTCCAGGCGAGGATAGTATGGCAGCCACGACTGGTTCTTCAGGAGCTGGGGACAAACAGTGAAAGCTCGCATAATGAAGTAAAATGAAGAACATCTTGAAAAGATTGATGGACTGATCACATCGACTCTTGGCTAAGGGACTGATTATCTCAAACTCATTCTGTCTGTCGCCTTAACAGTAGTATATAACTCACATTTACTTCGTGCTCAAGTTTTTTGCGGGTGTCTGCGGCCCACTTAGCCATCTTAGAGTAGTAGAAGCCGTCTCCTCCAACTTTCATTGAGCGAAAAACGTACTCCTTCTCTACTTCCTCGAAATCGCGATCAAACAGATTCAAGATCTGCGAAAAGCAGGGAAAAAATATGATACTTTACATTTTATATGATTATTTTGTTTAAAAAGTAAAAAAAAAAAAATTCAAATGCTGTGGTGTGTAAAAATGATCTGAGAATAATTTGAATATTGAACATTGCGTATGATTTTAAAACCAAAATGAGGGTGGCAATGATGGCAGAGATGAGGATCCTGCCACCAAGCAATACGTCTTGTTCAGCAATTATTTTTCCCTGACAGCAGACAAGTGGTTCCAATCAGTACAAACAGGTAAATGTTGTGTTCTCTTACATGGTCGATCATGACGTAGAAGACGGAGAAGAGCGACTTCCTGGCGGCCAGGGGCTTGAAAACATTAAGTACACGCAGACCCTGAGCCACCTTCTCCACTGTCTGCACAGCAGCCACCATCACACACTGGTATCGCCTCTCCACCTCCTCCATACTCTCTCTGAACCTGTCAGAAAGGTTGTCTATGGTTTCTGACTCAAGAAATCGTAATACCACGATTACAAACAAATCACTGACCTGTGAGTTTCAGGACTCACTTACCAGGGGTTCAAGCCCCACCCGTTCCGTGATTTATCTGTAGTTTCCTTTATATTCTTGTACCTGTAAAAAAGGGCATCTCGGTTCCATCTTCTTTTGGGTTTCCATTTGACTGAAAGAAAGAGCATTTATGTATAATTTTATACATACTGCCTGCGATAAAGGAATGAAAAGGCACAATACCTTTTCATGACGACGTTTCGGTCCGACTAGACCATTAATAGTCACACGAAAAGGCCAAAGGTAGGGTCCCAGTTATTAATGACTCCTACTCGCCCCTCTATGGTAATAGTTAAGGGTTAAGTCTGCCCGAAACGCCCGTCTTTAAAGATTTTTCTTTATGTGGGGGTTATTTGTGTTTTGCGAGAAAGGGTATTCCTATTTTAATATATTTTTTTAATGAACTGAAAAAAGGTTACCTCTGTTTATTTTCTTTTTGAGTTTCTCAAAGTTATAAAATAGAGTATCTTTATTTTTTTTTTAAATTTTCCCCACATTTTTTTTAAGAATTGTTACCTCCTTTATACATCACTTAAAATTTTCTGGCCTAAAAAAGCCATCTCTTTTTTTTTGATCTATATTCTTCAAAACCTGGAAGTGTTTTTATGTCAACTTCCCGAAAAATTTCTTTTTTAAATTTATAAAGATTTACATTTTATGTTTTAGTAATTTTTTTTATATTGTGCAGGTTATATCGGCTTTAAAACATTTTGCTTCTTTCTCCCCCTGTACGCTTTCCCCCTTTTCTTTGCACTTTTAGGGTTTTTCTTTGACTTTTATATTATTTAATTTTTATGCTCTCTTTGAAGATGAAATCCTTTCCCCAATCATCTTCCATTTACCCGTTTAAAGAGACGTGATCGGACTCCCCCCAAATCACTCATTACAATGATCATGATAAAATTGTCTGCTGTAAATCTGTCTCATGCCCAACCCACTTTAAAGAGTTTTAAAAATAATAAATAATAAAAAGGGGAAAAAAAAAGTGAGTTATTAAGGGACAATTTCTTGTGAAAATTTCAACACATGCCGCACGGCACAAACATGTTAAAAGATCTTTTCGTTAAGCATACTCTCAAAACCAGTAAAAAACCCCTTGTTAACTTTTGATAATAAAAAAATAATTACCTAAAAACTAAAACAGCAACGACAGACATAATACTTAGTGAATAAGTTGTAATGAACACTTGTCATGTCAAAATCCACAGGGGAATTCCAAGGTGGTCAAAGTATATAGATCAATTAATCTCCAAATTTTTGTCTTCATGTGGGTTTTTATTGAGCATAGTACTTGTCCTTTGACCCCAAACTTTGATTACACTAAAAAAAACTAACACACACGATTACACTCAATATCTCCCCAATAACAATTTTTCTATCAAATTTCCCCTTTCAAAAACCCCCCAAAATTTTTTAATCCCTTTTTTCCTTTTAAATTTTTTCCTTGGGGGGGTTTGAAGGGGCCCCCCCCCAGTTTGAGCAGCGCCCCATCCCCGGCCACCTCGCAAGTTCTCCCCCAAGACTCGTTCTCTGCGCCTCCATCACCCCGTAGGCCTTCCCCGACATCACTCCTCCACACCGTGTTGAAGGTACAAACTGAGCCCGAAGGAAAAATATATTTTTTTAATATATATATATATATAAATATATATTATAATATATATATATAACATATATATATATTCATATATATAATATAATTTTAAAATATATAATATATATTTTTAAATTTAATAATAATATATATATATATTTATATTTTAATATATAATAGGGAATACCACCTCATAACGGGAGGGGCCCCTCATCCTCAGAGAAGACAAAAAAACGTACCTCGGGGAAAAACTACTAAAGGTTTTCTCCCGGGGAGCTGGGGTGAATTTTTTTTCCCCTACCACCCCCTATATTTTAA